ACCCAATTACTTCCAAGTGCATCTGATCGACTGAAGTGACTGGTCCTGGCCGTCTTGTCGATAACACTGCGCCTGCCAGCCTTGCCGCTCCTGCTCCATCTGATGGCCTTGTTAGGGCTAATTGCTCTGGCATTTGGGTCTGATGGGGACAAGGACAGCCAGATCCTGCCATGTGCCATAGTGCTGTGGCTCTCCTTCCAGCTAAGGGGGAGCACCTCAGACTTAGGGTGAGACACTGAAGCCCCCAGGAAGAGCTGCCCAGCAGGGCTTCCTGTGGCCCAGCAAAGCAGCTGGGTTAGAGAAGAGTACTGTCTCACCGTCCTTCTTATTGGGCTCACTCTTTAGCGTTGCCAAGGAAGGCCACGGGTAGTGTGATATCCCAACTGTTCCCAAGCCCTGAGAGGCCCCAGCATATGTCAGTTGGTGACCATACAGGCACTGGTCCTTGGTCCCCTATCTGGAGAGGGGCTTCTTGGGCAGCCCTGGTGTGCCTGGGCCCTGAGGGGACTCAAGGTTGGGCCTGGTCAAAATCCTCAGTGTACATGGATGTGTGTGTAAGTCTAGGTGTGTTTCTGTATGTCTGTGTCGCTTGAATGTGTGTCCATGTGGGCGAGTCTGTGTGCTCATGGATGTCTGGGTCCATGTGTACATGGCTGTGTCTGCATATGTCACACAGCTGTGTGCATTTGCCCAGATTCTGGCAGGGACACTAACTGCTGGCAGACAAAGCCTTTCCTTCTGCTCCAGTCCATGGAAAGCACCCTTTGACCTGGCTTGCTGGGTGTGTTCCCCAAAACTATTTACATGTGATTTTCCACATGCAGCCCAGACCTGGCAGGGAGCAGGCTGAGTAGACAGTCAGTGTGGCCAAGATCACCGCGAACTGGCTCCTGGACTGAGGCTGCAGCATAGGTTGTCTGCAGTTTTTTTCTGCAGCAAGGATGGGGCAGGGAGGGAAGAGGCCCCCAGCACCTCATGCCAGCCCCTGTCAGGCCACAGGGAGGGCCTGCAGAGCCACAGGGCAAGGATGGTCTGAAGGCTGTCAGACAAGATCCAGAGCGGTGCCCCTCCCAGATTCTTCTGCAGCAGCGGGTCCCTGGGCCCTTTGAGCAGGCCAGGTTTGGGGGAACCCAAGTGGGCCAGACTGTGGTATGTGAGGGGCAGGTGGAAGCTCAGGCTGAGTCCATGGCCTGCCCTCCCCGCGCGGGAGGAGGCACCGTCGCCCGGGAGCGGCACTGTCATTATGGGCTATTAAGCCTCTGTGCTGAGAGAGGCTGTCGAGAGACGATGCTCCGCTTGTTGGAGCCGGCTCCCGGCCCTGATTGCCACAGTGACAGGCATCTGTAATTGCTCAGGATGACTATGAGCAGCAGGGCCTGCATGGGGGCCAGCGGGCTTCATGAGGGGAGGCAAGGCTCCAGAGTCCGTACTCCAGCGCAGGTGGGGACTCACCCCCACAGGCCTCTGGCTGCCCTGGCCACGCGCCTTACCTGATCTCACTTTTGTGCCTGTTGTCTCTTCCTGCCCCTCTACTTTCTCCTCCTCTTCCTCCTTCTCACCTCAGAGTTCACCCTCATGGGGGGCTCATTCCCCAGTCCACTTCTCTCTGGGAGAGCTGTGCTGGCCCTAGGGCTCTTTTGTGACCTGACATTTGGGGAGCCCCTTCCCAGCCCTACCCTTCCTTCTGGGGTACTAACATCAGAGGAGGCACTGGCAGTTGCCTGTCAGATTCTCTGAGGCCCAGCACTTGGAAACAGTGGTCACACGAGTCCTTGAAGCCTAAAATCCTAACGTGAGGGACTTGGATTGGAGACTGGCTGTGACCTAAAGAGGTCATCTATCTCGGGGCAGACAGGTCACCCCTGAGGGCCCAAGCGCTGGGCTCACAGAAGCCAGAGGCCAACCACATGCCCTTCTGGCCTACCACAAAGGGGTGGTGGTGACAGAGAAGACCCTGCCTGCCTTTGGGGGATCTTGGGGAAGAGCAAAAATAGGGGGAGGTGGAGCACCTGCCAAGGGATACAGCAAGGGCTGGGAAATAGGATGCAGGGCAGAGACAGAATAAGGGCTCCGAGGGACCCTCAGCATCTCTGGTGCAGGAAGACCACAATGCAAAGGGGGTCTAGGATGGGACTATTGCTTGAGTAGGGCAGCCAAGCCTGCAAGGCAGGTGTGAAAGGCCATCATCCCAGAGGTGATAGACTGGCAGGGATGAGCTGTCAGGCTGGGGGACTGGAAGACCAAGCAGGGCCAGGAGGCTGAAGCAGCACTCAACTTCCAGGGGCTTCCAGGGCCTCCCTGCCCTCAGCACCTGCTCTGGACACTGCTAGGGGTACCTGGCCCAGGAAAGGGTCTAGAAAGTGCATCCCCCACACAGCTCCCAGCAGTGCAGCCAGCCTAGGCAGGAAAACGAATTAAAAAGCAATATTTGTGTCAGTGAAAGACATTTGCTGAAAGGTTAAATCCACATCCGGCGGTGCGGCCTGCGCCCTGGTGTTTGTTAGTTATACTGCCCCTCCTGTCCTGTGCCACCTGAGCCACGGTGGGCAGGGCACGGGGTGCGGGGCCCGGGCCTGCCCACTGAGGGACCAAGCCCCGCCTGAGAGTCAGCTGAGTCTTTGGGGGTCTCCAGGGGAGCAAGAGCCTATTGAGAGCCTCTGCAGGCCTGGGGTCTAGGTGGAGGCTGGCTGTCCTGGAACCACCAGGGCTGGGGCACAAGTCCTTGGCCCAAGGAAGCCAGGCTTGCCTCCACATGGGGTCTTCCAGAGATTTTTTTCAAAACCATTTCTTCCTTTCCTTATTTTATTTTATCTTCTGGTGCTAGGGATTAAACAAGTGCTTTGCATTGAGCTACATCCCCAGCCCTTTTAAAATTTTTTTATTATGAGTCAGGGTCTCACTATGTTGCTCAGGCTGGGCTCAAAGTCCTCCTGTCTCATCCTCCCAGAGTGCAGGGATTATAGGTCTGTGTCACCATGGCTAATTTCAAGGCCATTCTGAATACACACATCAGGTTTAGTCTGGGGCAACCCCTCGCCCCCGAAGGATACCCACTTTCTCAGACAGAGCCTAGAAGGCCAGAAGGCCAGGGGCAGGACTGGGTACCAGAAGACAGGAATGGACCATCTTCGCGGGGTGTTTCCGAGGAGTGTCCAGAGCAGAACAAGCGCTGGGGAGAGGTGGTTAATATCGCGGGGAAAATGAGTAAGGGATAACTGAGTTGGGTATTGTGGGATGTGTAAGAGCTTGCCTGAAGAAAGTAGGTGAAGAGTAACATTTCAGTGTATCAGAGAGTTCCACTTACACCTGGAGCAGAAAGAGGAAACCATGTAGAACAAAAAGGTCAGCAGGGGTAGGTTTGGTGGCCAGGGGGATGGCAGCAGTGGGCTTTTCTTTGTGACTGAAGCATTCAGGTCTCCTCCAGAAAGCAATGGGGTGAACCCCTTTGGGGGAAGGTCCCAGAGCCACTGTTGGAAGCTCTGGGTTCTGAGGTGCCCTGGACCAGGGTCTCTTAGTGATCAACCCGGAGGGCTGAGGGTAAAGCAGACCAGCAGCTGCCTCTCTCCAATCTGCCATTTCCAGGGTGGGCTCTGGCCTTTGGCATCCTGCTGCCCCACAGGCCATGGGACAGGGGGCGCCCTTCCTTCTGCAGGTTCCCTTAGTGAGGGAGGACACCTTGCCCAGAGAGCTTCCCCATGCTGCCCACATGCTTCTGCTCAAAACCATCACATACAGCCAAAAAATGGCATAGGGTGGAGGGGCTTAGACTGAGTGGGCCTGAGCCCACCACAGTGGGGGTCCCCCAGCCCCTCCTGGACTCCTCAGAGAGCCTGAGATGATCCCTGGCCCTGAATGGGTGGAAGGTGCCTATGAGGGACAATAGAGCGTCCCAGGCACAGGACCGCGAGTGCCAGCGCAGCTGGCTGGCAGGGAGCTCTCTGGGGAGAGAAGGGGAGCCCTGGACCCTCAGTGCTGAGGGCAGGGTATGCCCCCCAGGGGAGGAGTGGCCTGGGGTGGGTGTGCCATGTGGCCAGCCCTGTTACCTGTGTGCTACCCTGATTAACCTGGAAGGGGGCTGCAGACCTTGGAGAGGATCAATTGGCCCTTCGCGAGGTCAGTAAGACTCTCTTAGAGACACACTGGAGGGATTGGTCCTTCTGGAATATTCTGTACCCTGAGGGACCCGCCTGCAGGGCCAGCACCAGGGCCAGCAGGCACAGAGCTAGGGCAGTGCAGACAGCATGCCCGAGGGGTGTGTCTATGGATCTGAGACCAGGACCTGGTGGGAAAATCTGAGAAGTCCTCTGGAAAGAAGGAAAGGAAAGGAAAGGAAAGGAAAGGAAGGGAAGGGAAGGGAAGGGAAGGGAAGGGAAGGGA